TCCATTGGGAGTACCCCAAACTTCATTTAATTCTGCCTTTTTAATCGTGGGAGCATAAGTACCCGCCCCCACCACCCAATCTAACAATGGCTCCATACCTGGTCATCGCATGCAGATCCTGGCCATTGCCAGGTGTTGACATGCCTATTCTCTGTAGGCAAACCCCCCCATGACGGTCTTTTAAGGTTGCTATAGATATGATTATCTCTTTGTGTGTCACCAGTACTCTTTGGGTCACAGACCTGAAACATGATGCTATAAATTATTGTAGGGATGCACCGATACCGGGCATTTTCAGAAGTACTTGTACTCCTGAAAATGCCCCGATGGTAAGTGGCGATACACCGGAATGTAAACATTTCAAACACCGTGCTGTGAGGTCCCATGCTTGCAGCCTTGTGAGGACCTTCAAGGCGCTGTTTACAGCATCAGTCAGGCTGCATGTCGCCGCATCCTCCTGATGTCGCACAGCCCTGATGAGGAGATGCACGTGACATTAAAAAAACAAAAAAGTATTTGTAATTTGATATTGGCGAGTACTTGAGGAAAAATAATCACTCGTACTTGGTCTGGAAAAAATGGTATCTCTGCATCCCTAAATTTATTATCTAAATTTCTTATCTCTACACTTGTTCCAGGTAAAGCTGGTTATACATTGTAATATTTTCTTCATTCAACCTGGGGGCTGAAAAAAGAAAATATTACAGATTCCTCCATTAACGCTTCTGAGCATTCCTCCTCATGCTGTCTTTGTATTCTGACGGCACTGCTTGCAGAGATTGCATGTTAATGGCACTGGTATTAGAAAGTACATAAGAGTCTTTCATTTTCTTTAATTGGCTAACTCACCTCATGGCTTCCCATGCCCAGACATTCGGAATGCACAACGTAACAACCCTGGTGCTTGTAAAAGGTAATTTATTAAAAAGCTTCCTTCACCAAATCTGCAAACTTGTCTTGCTTTGAACTCAGTTATTTAAGCTATTCATTAATGACCAGTTTCATAGCACAAATCATCCACCTAGAGCTCTCCTACCCATATACCTGTTATGGACCAGAGCAGTTTTTATTTTTCCACTATGGGCCTGCTTATTTGGCAATAATGTCTTCATTACTTAGGATACAGTAATACATCTGTTCTTGTTTTGTGGGAAAAAGTAGACTTGTTTGGCCAAATTGTTTTGCACAAATCATTTTAGTTGCTATCTGTGAACAAAAGGATGTAAAACAATTTTTAGTTTTAGTATGTTGATTTACAGTATATATATATATGACCCTAAGAGCACCTCCCTACAGTCAAGCACGGAGGTGGAAACATTATGCTTTGGGGCTGTTTCTCTGCTAAAGGTACAGGCCGACTTTGCCGCATTGAGGGGCGAATGAATGGGGCCATGTATTGTAAAATCTTGGATGAGAACCTTCTTCCCTCAGCCAGAACACTGAAGATGGGTTGTGGATGGGTCTTTCAGCATGACATGGACCCAAAACATACCACCAAGGCAACAAAGCAGTGGCTCAAGAAGAAGCACATTAAGGTCATGGAGTGGCTTAGCCAGTCCCCAGACCTTAATCCTATAGAAAATGTATGGAGGGAGCCTTAACCCTTAAGGTTTCTTGACAGCCAAGAAACCTTAAGGATTTAGAGAAGATCTGTAAAGAAGAGTGGACCAAAATCCATCCTGATGTGTGCAAACCTGATAAACAACTACAAGAAACGTCTTACCTCTGTGCTTGCCAACAAGGGTTTCTCCACCAAGTACTAAGTCATGTTTTGCTTGGGGATCAAATACTTATTTTACTCAATGAACTGCAACCCAATTTATAACATTTGTATCATGTGTTTTTTCTGGATCTTTGGTTGATATTCTGTCTCTATCATTTAAAATGCACATATGATAGAAATTATAGACCTTTCATTTCTTTGTAAGTGGGCAAACTTACCAAATCTGCAGGGGGTCAAATCATTATTTTCCTCACTCTATGCATCACATTCTCTTTCTACTTCAATATCTATTTTCGTTTTTGACAGAAAGAAAAATGGTAAGTTTTCTCATCATCCCTCACCTTAGCAGCCTTACAATATGTATATCTCAGTAGGGCTGCAACTGATGATTATTTTCATAATTGGTTGGCCGATTTGTTTTTTTTTTTAAATCGGATAAAAAATAAATACCAGCCTTCATTTTTTTTAAAAAATACACAAATACAGTGTTACAAAGTTTACTTCACATTTTTTGCAATCGTACTGTACTGGAACACACGCCATTGCGGTACCATGCATTCAAGTGCGGGCGATCACACTGTGGGTGGGAGGCGCGCTTGGGGTGCCATTGAAATGAATGGCACTGCAACACACCTCCTGCAGCAGAATTTGTCAAACCTAAACCGAAAATAACTTTTTGCCCCACCTTATAATTTTTTTATGAATTGAATTGTAAGCACATGCATAGCTTCAGCCAGAGAATGACACCTGCCAGAGGCAAGATTCCGCAGACGGCAGCTGAATGTAAATACAGCAGGTAGTGGGCTGGTGCAATAGCCATTTCAAATTGCAATAGCAGGCTGGCTATTGCACCCGCCCACGCTTGCTGTGCCCTCCTCCCAACATGGAGAGAGCTAGGGGATCCAACCAACTAATCAGTGAGAAGAGTTTACAACTAACATGTAAATTTGGGTGAATGTTTTTTTTTTCTTTATTTAATTCTATAATTTCTCAAGAAAATAACACTAAAATGTCCCTTATACAAAGCATGGGGTGGAGAAAGGGGTTTGTGCATTTTTTTTTCGTTGCTATGCGACACTGGAAAAGGCAACAAATAAAAGAAAAAAAATGTATTCATAGTAAAAATTGTCACACCTTTTGATATACATAAGAATTAAATAGTAAATACAATGAA